TACTCACCTACACGTGCCACGCATGATTCACACTATCACGTTCATTTTAGGCCGCCTATATCCAAAATTGGCAAAGTTTTTACATCTTTTGCCAGCGCAAACATCCACATTTATGTGCACACGGCCGGAATAGAACGCAATCAAATTCTGCTGCGACGTCAGCCGCTGTCGTGCAGGTCGGATAACGACACAAATATTTTAAGATCATCGGCCATCAGACAAAAAAGCACACGTACGCGACCGTGAAAAAGCAGAAGAAAAACTTATCGGCGGGTGGCGTGCGAAGCGCAAGTAAGACCGCTTTTCGCGCTTCTCTTTTTATTTTTCTCTCTCGTTGGGCAAAGCAGAGCAGAGACGACAAACAAGCCGGTGTGTGGATAAAAGTTTCGCCCGAATTGATTATCAATAAAAGCAGCGGACTCGGCAAAACGCCGCCACACCGCAGGAAGGGAACAACCCCGACGCCCACGCTCACCTGCTTTCTCACAATTAATAGTACTCGGGCGATTTACGGCCGGCAGTATTTTATAAATGGAGAGAGAGCGTTTTGCCGGCGCAGGCGAAAATAAAACGATTTGGCCGCATGACGACGAGGACGCCACTTCCTCCGTTTCCTTCCTCCCTCTTTTTTGTATCTCTTTTGGCCCCCGCGTAAATAAGAAAGAGTTGAAAAAGCTGTTACATAACTCTAAATAAATAACGCGTGGCGGCGGCGGCTTTTGTGGTGCGCTTCTGTAAATAAAGAGCGCTTGAAAACAGACACCCCCTCTGCAACATCGAATCTCAAAATTGTATGCTGCGCTCTTGCGGTTCAGGGCTCGGTTGACCTTTGTCGGGCAATTAAGAGCACTAAGCGGATTTTGTAAAGCGGCCTTAAAAAATTGATAATATAATGCTAGGCTGATTTAATCGGATTAGTGGTGAGGAAGAGCCTCGTTAAAGTGTTGCTTTAATCAGTTTCTTTTTAACAGTGTTTCTGAATAATATTCTACCTGTTCTGGCTTAAAATAATTTATTTAGATCCTTTATTATCTCTGTCGTTCAGCGATTATAATAAAACAATTATTTATGCACCGCATTTTGGTATTGATAAAAATTTACAACTTCTAGATATTATTATTGCTTAAACATGTCAAATTGCTACATTCAAAATTGTTAAAAACAATTTATTGCGAGGAAAAAGGGATTGGTTACGACATTAACAATTGTATCGCTGTTTTATATACAATTTCATTACAATTAATTATTACTATATAATATTTACCTTTATCATTGTAAAAGTTGTTATATTATTTATTTATGTTATTTAACGTACATTTAAAATAATAATTTGTATTTAAATCATTTTAGAATACACAATTTTAGTTCATAATCATAAACCTTTCCTTCAACATGATAATTTAATTTTAATGCAATAATTTGCAGCGTGATAAATATTTTATTTTTTGCTGAATCTAACTTCTTGATAATTTTAGTTCAATATGCTACAGCAGCCTGTGTTCTGTAGCTGAAAGATGGTACATTGGAATTCATTAAAAATAAAAAATAAATAAGTAACTAATTAATAAATTTATGCTAATACTATTTACTCTTCTATTACTATGATGAAAGTAAACTTCGTTTATTTACTTACTGATTCATTGTCTCAGATTTCAGAGGGTTTCCCAGAACATGTAAAATTCATTTGATCTTCACCAAAATATTAATTTTTTTTTATTCAATATAATGTTTGCATAAAAAATTTAAATCTTACCTGGGTCAATGAGGTTTTTTAATTTTTTTTTTATTTGTTAAGTTTGAAATAAAGAGAGTATCCTAGTAAGTGGTAATAAAAATTGTATTCATCTGGCAAATCGAATCGTTGAGAATAGATCCCACACACTACACACATAATTAAACTTGAAGAGTTCATAAAAGTATTCCAATATAAGCAATAAAATCAGGAAATTTTGCTTGAGCCAAATCAATTTATGGCTCGTAAATTTCCCTATAACCGAATCCAATCGGGGAGCTCAATCGCATTTTGCGCTCCATTATGTACATGGCTGGGCGTTTTGCAATGTCCCTCCGCAAGTCCGTAAATCACGCCAGCGAAATTGTTATTATTATTGCCGCCCCTTCTCCCGATCGAGAATAACTCTTTCCGGCTAGGCTTGTTCACACCGCTATATCAATGATTGTGAAAAACACGGCCTAGAGCGGAGCAGCTCGATGTTGAACAAACTAACTAGTTTTAATTGACGGTCTGTTTGTTTCTCGCCGCTGGAATGCAGTAGCCCTTGATCTAAATTCTGCGTCTGTTTGCTCCGTACGTGTGTATTTACGACCGGCGGCACAAAGAGATGGATATGCCGCTGTTTGTGCAGATGCAGCCGGCGGTAGTTTGAAAAAAGTGAATCTTGTTGCCTTTGATCATCAAAAAAGAAAATAAAATGTTTTTGCATGAAGTGCAGCTGCTATAAAAGAAAAAATAACTCATTTTAATAATTATCTACTTTTTTCCCTTCAAATTACACTGCTGAAAGCAAAACTTCCCTTTCTGAATTTTTTGCCAAAACCTTGAAATTTTTGTATCTGGAAACATTTATTTTAGAAATAGGTTGAAAATATTAAACAGCATTGATCCGTCACAGAGGCAATCCTTGCCTCTGTTGTTTCCATTCTGACGAATTTAAAATTTGTGCAGATTTTCTCAGCAAAATAAGCAACTAGTTTTATTCTGTGTTTCTTATGATTTTTTTAACTAGCTTTAGGCAATTTTTGTAGATTTACTTGGTTCTAAAAATGAGCCAAAAATGAAGCTGAGAGGTTACAAGAAAGACTTATTCCTCTATTAATGATTCCCTGAGTTTTTTGTTTAAAACTTTTATTTTTTTGTGATTCTTGTTATAAATCATTGAAGCTAGATTAACAATAACTTCAACGGCATAAATTACTACGGTTTATATAACAACAACTTAAAAAAAGAGAGAAATATTAACATGTAACTATGAAACAGGATATTTGCTTTTTATTGTTAAAAAAAAACTTTTGAGGCCAAAATACAGTTTTCTTCCAAAAAAAAGTAAAAAATGTTTCTATAAAAAGAAGAAAAACTTAAATTCATCCAAATCTAATATGCTTTGGCGTCTCTGGCCTGTTTTCCCTTCATGCCACTCCAATTGAACAGTGCTTGTATAGCGTGTTGACTAAATTATGCAGATGGTTGAAGTGCAGCGAATGCTACGATTTTTTTGCGAGTCAAAGGGCAATGTGTGCGATAAATATTGGAGTTTTCCGCTCCACCGGCGATTCTCGATCAAACGAAGCGGCTCGGCGAGCGAGCAAGCGGAGCCAATTATTGAAAAGGTGCCGTCGGCGAGCCAACCAATCTGGGATGTGAGCTTGCATTGTTTGTCCGCATTAAATGTTCAGTCGAAAAATGCTTCGACTGCGATCAGTGCATGAGCACTAACGACACGTCAACCGCGAGAATGTGCTGTTTTTGCGTCAAATCATGTGGGCGTTGATAGAGACACTCAGTGTGTAGAGCAAGAAAGTAGGATCTCTCTTTTGAACGCACCCTTTCCAAAGCAAACTAGAACATTTATAGACTGAAATGAGATGTATTTGCTTGCGGGAAAAATAAGGCAAAATAAATGTTTTCAAAAGTAGAAAAAGGTTGAAGCTATTTGTTATTTTCCATAATTGACTTTTTTGTAAAGAGATTTTGAGGTTTTCTGCGTAGGAGTTCTGTTTAAATTGACTCCTACGTAAAGTATGAAAACATGGAGAGGCCATTTACTTTTGCAAACTGAATTTCGTGCTGTTTTGTAGAGGAACTTTCCACTTACCATCTTTTAAGTTTCAACAGGAAAAGTATGCAAATGCTACAAACAATTAAAATTTCCAAGCTATACACATAAAATATTCAATTAATGAAAGAAAACTGTTACAACTTATAACAGACTAAAGAATAAGATTAATTTTATAAATATTTTCTTTCAGAACTTTGCGCTGACATTTAATTTTATCAGGCTACTATCAATATTTAAACAAAAATTAGTAATAATATTTCAATTACATACCGTCAATTTAATCAAGATTTAAATTTTAAAATAGCACAATAAAATAATAGCTTGACAATATTAATTTTTATTAGCATAAATTTTTCAAAATCTCAGTAACGTCCCAGCTAAAAACTGAAAAAAAAATCTAAATAAACTTAAATTGAGAAATTTTACACGGGAGATACGAACATTAATCGGTAGGAATTGTTCCAATACTTGATGGATTATTCAAACAACTCGTGATATGCAGTAGAACTTTTAGACAACTTTCGAGCTCACGCACTGATACCGCTTAGCCCTCGGTTTCTTGAGTTTCGTCTTACCTTTAATATCTAAAAATATGCACATAATAACTTGAACCCCCTTTTGCAGAGCGAGTTCCCATGTTCAGGCACGGGCCGTGTTCCCCTGCGAACGCAAAGTTATGCAAATTGTTGAGCACGCGTGTCCAACAAGTTGCCTACCTTCCCCCTTTCCGGCCTCTTTTTTCCACACGCAGGAATGTTCGGCTGCCTGCGTGCAGTGTGAAAGTATAAAAGCCACGACCCATTACCCGCGCCAGGCAATGTTTCGTTTAGCAAGTGTGCGACACCGCCTGCTTTTATTCGTAATGACACAATTTTCAGCCACGGAATTAGAGGAACTAAATTGAAAAACAAGCAATAACCTCCCACGAAAATAAAAGCTTATACGAACATTGTGTATCGTGGAGGGAAATTATTAAAATAAGACTTAAAAGTTAGGTCATTTTAATTAAGAAGTCATTATTCTATGTCTATATTATTATTTTTAATATATGAATGAAAATGACTGGCCTTTGCTTATGTGCTGCGCCAGTCTAGAATAATTTTATTTATTTTTAATTTTATTTAAATTTAATGAGAACTCCATAATGCTAGGAGTTTGGTCATCAGGGTGCAGTGACACTAATGGTGGTTGTTGTTGTTGCAGAGACTCGGAGCGCGGCGGCGGCGGCGAGATGGGGGAGGGAGGGCGGCGGGTATCGCAGCGCGTGCCCAGCCTCAAGCTGGCGAACGGCCGCGTCAGTGGCAGCAGCGGCGGCATCGCGGCCAGAGGCAGCAGCGTCGGCGGGTGCACACAGTCGCAGGAGGAGATCCGCTCTCCTCGACTCGCCAAGGATGACTCGATCAAGATCAGCATCGAAAACACCAACACGTGCACCGACTCGCTGGTGACCGCCTTGGACGACGAGACCTTCCTCCTCACCGATGTCTTTTTGTCCAGCGACATGAACTACCGAGACACCATCGGCAGCGGCACCACCGGCTCACACCACCACGTCGGAAAGGTACGATGTAACAATAGAATTACCCCATCTTTAAATCTCCAAAGCAATTCATTATTAAGAAATAAGTTTAAGTTTTATTTCCTCTTTTATTTCTGATCAGATCTTTAAAATTATTATTGTTCCATTTTAATTTTCAATATATAGAAATTTATTAAACACATTTTTATATTAATTTTCATTTATTTTTTAATATACACATTTTTATATTAAAATTATAACATTAAACACTTTGAATTGATCAATCTGAATTAGAAACTGAACTGAAATATGTTAATAAATTCCATTATGTAGAATCTTCTCATGAAATAAATGGAACAAATGAAGCTCTATATGATTAATTAGTTTTCTTATGAAAGTTTGCACAATTGTAAATTAATAATTTGTAAATCTCATTTAAAATTATGTACTATTAAGGCAGTTATAACAATTAGCGATTTACTTTGCTCATCTTCCGCAAAAAAATCCACCAATCTAGCCAAGTTTTTTACACTTATGGAGGAATAGCCAATTTCAATTCAAACAATAAAAAAATAACTATTGTTGACGCAGATTTCCTAATCAAGGGTTGATTCATGATGTTTGAATTGCAATTCAGCTTTTCTTTTTGGGTTTTTTAATCGTTTATTCTTTGTAAGAAATATCAACAGCATTAATTAAATGATGTTTTTAAGTCAAACAATAAACGACTCAAAAGACCTTTTAAGATAAATCGAAATTTAAAGTTCAAAAATAAATAATTTAAATATTATTTGCTCATATGAAAAGGAAGTCATTTTTTTAAGAATGAAATGGTTTGAAAAGTATTGATCTCAAATTATATTCTTTATAAATTGCGCTATTTCAGAAGTGAAAAATCGCAAATTTTGTGCGTTCAACTTACTGAATTTTCAATTGTGATTCGATCTACTTCTAGGTGCATTTTGGTGGCGACGACGTGAGCCTTTACGGGACACCCAAGGAGGAACCAGGACCGACGCACATCATGCCGGGCAGTGCGGCGGGTGGTGCGAGTAATGGGGGCGCGAGTGGGACCGGGTCTGCGGGGGCCCACGGACCAAGTGGTGCGTCGGGCGAAAAGCAGGGCTTCATCAAGAACCACCTGCAGGCCCTATTCCAGCCCACCGATAATAAACTGGCCATGAAGTTGTTCGGCAGCAAAAAGGCGCTCATGAAGGAGCGCATCCGGCAGAAGGCGGCCGGCCACTGGGTCATACATCCCTGCTCCAATTTTAGGTGAGTCGAGCCAAACGCTTCTTCTTTTTATGGGTTTGTGGGGCGTCCAGTCCGGGGCCGCTGTCACAACAACTGCCAACCCCGAGACAAAGTGACACACCGGCGCCGCCGATCCCTCCTGCAAAAGTGCAGTAAAAAATTCTCTGAAAAATTATGGTTTATCCCCACACTGGCGTATAGTCTCATATTTTACAAAAAAGTAAAAAAATTAATGATAAATTTTCGTTAGAAAATTTCCGAGCTACTGAAAAAGAAAAATCATTTAAAAAGTTTTTGAAAATTTTAATACAACGCTACTTTGATTAGTTGTATATAAAAAAGGCGTATGGTGTTAAAAATTTCCGAAAAGGTTCTTGAATTCTAAACTTTTTCAAATGAAATTTTAACTTCATAAAAATATAATAGATTGAAATGCTGCTGTTAAAATTTGATGGAAAATCGGAAATAATCAAAAGAATCCTAAAAATTAATTCAGGAATTTTTGCAATTTATAAAGAATCGCTGATAAATTTTTGCCACCATATTTATTTAATAAATATGAAGTGAACGAATTGTTTTGAGAAAAAAAATTTAATTTTTGATTCAGCCGAGGAGGTCAAGGCTGACCAAAATCATCGAGATTCAATTTCCTGTGCGATAAAATTCGTCTAATGAACATAGAACGAATTTTGTCTCTAAAGTGCATAATCGCGTGCTAGGCACAAACTTTTTTATCTCCAACAATCACCATTGCTCAACTTAAAAAAATCCATTCCAACCTTGAATGTAGCAGAAATTAATTTTAAAAAAAAAGTAATAATAATAATAATTTCCGGGAAACGGTACAAAAAAAGTTTGTGTTGATCTGAAAGTTGAAAATAATAATTTTATGAAAACAGTAAATAAATTTGCATTCAAACGCGGAAATGTCAATAAATTAATCAGACTAAAACTCCCCATTCAACATTTGTGTCATGTTGTCCCAGTTCAATTATAAACAGGAAAAAACTATATTCCGCGTTTTGCGTAATAAGCAGCTTTCATCCGAGCTGGTCTTTCATTATCCTGGGAGTCGGATTAGTGATAATAACTAACGCAAAAGAAAACTAGCCCCACCCTCCGCTGCTAGAAAATTCAGCAAAACAAACCGGCAGCAGCCGACCAGCAGCTAAAATAACTATTTCCCTACAAACACACAGAGCACCAAAAGGCCATTAATATTTCACCTGATTCGCTCTGGCCGACGAACTGGTTAAATATTGATTTTGGTGGCGACCGTGGTAATTAAAAACACCACCACGACGCACGTTCTCTTGTGGACGGAGTGGATTTAATTGAAAAATATGGGCTTCAGGCTAATTAGGAGACATGTAAACTTGTCAAAAGTTTATTCAACGGAGAAACGTAACGAGAAAAACTGTAATTATCAGTGGATTTTAATTTGAATGACCGAAGCCACCGTCTTTGTCATAAATGTGGAATGCATTCGGGTCAAGGTTGACTTTCAATTTGCCAGAGTCTGTTATTATTTTTTCATCCTCCTCTTTATTTACCTGCTAAAAGTTTCCCTTGGGCCGTCTTAAAAATTTATCCCAGCGTGCGGAACTCATTTCTTTCGAGCCCATTTTTGCTTCGCCTAAATGATAGTTGAGAAGTTTTTCTCTTCTCTCTTAGCTGGCAATGCTGCAGTAATAATTAGGACAGACTTCCCGTGCGTCAGAAAATAAGAGGATTTGTCTCGGTCGGCGGACCATTATTTAGGAGATTAAAATGAAGGCAAGCTTTGCAAAATGAAAGGGAATGTTTGAGGCTGTTTTGAAAGACTCTCAATTTGGCATACAGAATAGTATGTACAACTCCAGAATAGGAAGATAAAGAGCGTTAAGCATCACAAGCATAGTTTTATCTTCCAGTTGCATGACCTGGAAAAGAAATTTGGCCAGACTTCAAAAGGTTAAAATTATCTTTGTTCCTGCAGTTTACTTTTTTTAAGTATGGTAAATGTTTTTAATGCATTTTAATTCGAGTACATTATTTATAAACTTTATTAATAATTAATATTATTATTTTTTTAAATTATTACTGCATTTTATCAATTTAAAACTTTGTGTGAAAGCTTTTTCAGACATCCAAACAATTACAATATTATATTATATTAATAATTTCATAATAATCTATCCCACAATATGTTAAATTCAAGCAATATTCTTGGCAGAAATTTTTTTAAATTAACGGTTCGATGTCAGAGGGACGCTCCCCATCAATCAAAGAACTAAAGTGGGAATGTCAGCAAACGCCTGCAATTTTTTTGTGCGCGAATCATACTAAAGCAGTTGGAAGATCACATGCAATACTTTTTTTGACATCGCAAATGTTGGCGTGCGTGCGAGTCTCTGACAAACTCAACATAAAAGCAAGTTTCCTATGTGACACAGGGTAAGCTAAAGAAAAGCAAAGAATGGGCAACTTTCCTACAAAAAAATCACACGCCCTTACATCAATCATTTCTCCATTCATTCGCAATGTACATTTGCGTAAAGAAAAATCGGCACCTGACAATAATTCTCGCCCGTATGGAGGGAAAATAACAAAGCTTGGAAACGTGGAGAAAAAAGCGTCGTGTCTTAAGTCACCGCACGCATTTAATAATGGTGTTCCCGCGAGTAATGACTTTTTGGCTGCTTTTTGTACAGCCTAACTTCAGCGTGGATTAAGGACATGAGAGGAGCTGTCATAAGGAAGGTTTATTGGACGTGAGAACAAAGCAAGATCACTCAAGTGAACACACCGAACTTTTTGTTTCAATGGCCAAATTCATAAAAAGTCCAATTCTAATGGGATTTTTACGATATCAGCCTTTAAATAAAATACTAATTTCTCCCAGAAAAAGATTTCCACCAGGTTTGCACCACGTTTGCACCACACTTTCCCATGTAAAAAGCATTGCGAGCGTTTGGGGTGGAGCTGTTGAAAGCAGCTTCCTGAGTGGCCGGCCACTTCCCCTAAGTCCCCACCACCATCCACCAGGTTATGCTCAGGTATACTGAGGGTAGACAACTGGGGTAGCTTTCGTGCTTTTCATGTTGCCTACCCTCCTACCCTCTGGCATCTAGATTTTTTTTGCGATTTATGAAATGAATATTTTTGGATGGCATGTCCATGAAAGAATGTCATAAAATGAATTAAATATGACGTCGAGACAGCGATATAATTTTTAAGTAATTCAACGAAAATCTAATTCATATACTGGCATATTAACCATGCCAAAATGAATTTAAAAATTATAATTATATTATGTCAGATGAATTAGATGACTCACTGTGCGTGTTGATAATTTCTTCAATTTTTTAAAGAGCATTATTTATTGCTGTTAAAATATTTTCATCCAGATAAATTTTTGGTAAAAATTAATTTTCCAAAACCAACTGAAATAAAGTGATCATTAACATAATAATTATCTATGTATTGAATTATTAGTATCATAATAAATGCCACATTATATTAGATGTTAGATGCATACTTTTTGCATCTCCATACTCTTGAAATTAATTTCAAATTGGGACCCAAAATTTCTGCACTTTTTTCCTCACACAATAATATGAGAGAGCATTATTTCACATGCACGCATTTCGATGGCTCAAAGGTTGATTTATTGCCCTAGCTCAGGCCTTTCAACTGCTCTCCTGTTTACACCTTACCTCTCCCGCTGAGAGCACTGCGCGCAGCAGCAACACAGCAAGTTTTTCACATCCCTTTTCTCGCTTTCACAAAAAAAATATTCCCTGTGCACTCACGTGCAGTAATAGGATTTACAAAAGAGAAGAAAAACCGAGAGAAAAACGGCCAAGACAAAAATGCTTGACCGCGAAACGCAGATATTGACGGCCGCCGCGCCAAGCTTTGGTCATCTTTTCTTGAAATATTATAACAAAAATTTACTATATTTACATTTATTTATTTTATATTATATTAAGTTATATATAATATTATTCTTATTATTATATAATATTTTTTTATTCTCCATTTACACAAATTTAAATAAAACATCTTACATAAAGTACATCAAAATTTAATTGCTTCCTTAATCATTTGATTGGAGAGAAAATTTATTCATGTATCTAAATTAATATAAAATATTGAAAATCGTCAAACAAAATATAATATATAGCTACATTTTATATAATAATTAATATGAATTATCAAATAGATATTAATTCATTGTACATTTTTATTCAGTTTTAAATCATATTGTCGCGATCAAATTGAAGAAAGCAATGACTTGTTTATAAACCAGAGGATGGCTGGCGGCCGACTGCTTGGGTTTTTATTTGTTCAGAGAAGTAAAAATGCCAGGTATACAGCGACCCACGTCACCCACGATAACAATAGTGACAACAAAAACAGGCAATGCAAGGGGACTTGAAAATGTTGAAAACCTATGAAAATGTATACACGAATAGCATGAGAATGCACTCCTAACTTATTCTCCTAAATTATTTATTAATTTTATAAAATATAATTTTATGGGTACGAAATTTTTGACACGGCCAATATTAGGTTTCTTGGAATCAGCATAAAAAATTCTAATTTATGATACAAGTTAATATTAAACCTAAGACCATGGTCAAGAGGTCAGCAGGTGACCTAAGGCATCTACAGCTTTAAAAAAACTCTCTTGCACTGGAGCTCAACATTTCAAATTCAATGTTGTTCGAATCATGCGATTCGGATTAATAGGAGCAAAGTTCTTGCGCTCGGCAGTTTAGCGTGAACATCACGTTTTTACAAAGTAAAAATTAAATTTAAATTATTCTGTTAAAGTCATCTACTAGAGCGCTGCAGAACTGTTGAGCCAAGACTAAAAGCTACTTATTCTAATTTTTTTGTATTTGTTGATCAAAATTTAAGTGCTACAGATCAAGTTGAATTAGAAAAATTGCTATATATAATTTTTGGTGAAAGTTTCATAATCCATATTTTAATATCAAAAAATCAATACATTCGAGGACTTTACTGTAAAA